GAGAATTTTGTCTATAAGAACCTCAGATTCAAGGGAGACTATAAAATGGCCCTATTTTATGGAAATAAAGGTTAAAAAACATGAGCCGCTAACAATATTTTTCAAAACTAGTCACCTGAAACACGAATACAGCTTTTTTAGGTTAAAAAGTCAAACACTTAATTGAAAAGATATTCCCCTCGAAGTTCTGAATGCAGAACCAAGAAAAATTACTGCGAAAAAATATATGGATTTGAAATCACTGTGTGAAGGAATATATACCTGTAGTTCGTTTACCAGAATACCAAAGATTCTATTTAAATCTTCCTCATGAGTAGTAGTAGTAGTATACGTTTATTTTTCCCCAAAATACAATGTGTTCCTAAATACAAATCAGTACAATAATAAACGTAAAATCAAAACATTGTACCTGACTTTCACAAAATAATCTTAAGTTAACATGTTTTATAAGTCAAATGTTTAAATTGTCTTGTAAAGCCCATTATAACCAAAAAAAGTTGGTTGTGCACGGGCAGATTTTTTTTTGATATAATTTTGGTAATAAATTTTGCTTAGAGCAGCAACTACAGAAATATGGAGGGTGAAGAGGAGTAATACTAGCGTAGTACGATTTCTGGTATATAATTTCTACTAGATTTCGTGTATCTTGTCTACCAATTTGAAAAAATACTAATTTTGTTCATCTTTTAACAGATATTCTCATATCATTATTGTTTGAGTGAATCTTTTGTTTGTGGTGCCATATTTACTTTTTTAGGGAGTTAAATAGTTTTAGATACTGCGGATACCTATTTCGCCATAATATTCACTGATCCCCTTTTTATAACCATTGTAATAGAATATATTTTTTTTAATTTCATGTATATTTCACTTTAATATAACACGGACGTAACTAAGTCGACGACCCTTCAATTTCACAAAATGACGTATCCACTTTTTTTTGGAAATTTTGAGCACATCAAATGAGAAACGGGTTAATCGTTGCTCATTTTTGAAAAGCTTGTAAACATGAGCAAATATACCCACAAATTCAATTATGTAGCAATAATATCTTTTTGTCAGCAACAAGTCAAATCTCGTGAAAATATTTAAAACGCTGTTATGGACGACGAAATGTATTGCCCAAGACAACATTATTTGCTAAAGTATTTATGTACCTGCTTGGCATTTTTCCCGGCAAGTCTCTATGTTTCGTGATAAAATCCCTGGTTTTCTGCAAAAAGTTGCTACTTTACACTGGCACGGTGTTGCACATTCAGTGCTTATCATATGGCCACCAGGTGGACACCAGCGTTGCCACGTGCACTCCCTACGATGTTTAAGTTGTGTAACGTTTAGCAGAAAATTTCCGGCATTTTCCTATAGTTCCATCACTATATCTGGCCAATGACTCCTTTCTTCTACTCCTCTGCGGTGGTATCAGGTTTCCACTCTGATGACAGTTATGACTTTATCGCCAGGAGGTGTTTTCTAATAAGCCAGAGATATGAATAATTACTGTGCGTTTCGCCGAGCGACAGACCAACGGGCGAGGCTTCAATTGAAACAGATGAAAGCAACGAATAAAGTATCGCAGCAAGAGTAGGCGTTGATATATCAGCGCATTTAAGGGAATTATGAACCGTCAGTCCATCAGCGAGATTCATAGGAAAGTAGGGCGTATTCGGGCTGAGAAGAGAAGAATGATGAAGTAATTAACGGTTGCGTAACGAAGAGTAGAGAAATCTTACTGTGAAAGGTGTCAGCTACCTTCTCGATTCTGTTTTGGAGGAAGGGTTCTCATCACCCCAGCAGGGCCCTTGTACCTCTTTTCCAGGCATTACTTAGGGTTAGATGATCTGCCACCCCTATCTATTGAGGGTGATAGTAGGAGAGCACGGCAGATTAACAGAAAGAGAGATATCTATCTAAAAAAGTAAGGTCGATCATTAGAAATACTCGAGCGCTAATGTAACATTTTTTGTTTGATTTTATGCAGGCTGATTCGTTCACCTTTTGTTATTATTATGCTCTTTATGTAATATTGAGACTTTTTACCATTTTACCGTATGTCCTGTTTCACATACATTTCAGATCTAAAACAATGCAGTTGCAACATTTTAGTCGAAGATTGCATAACAATTAACCGGTGTGTTGCGAAAACAGTTCTGGATGGGTTTTTCGCGTTCTTTTGAAGGCCTTGTGGTGTTTTCGGGACGAGGGACGAGAGTGGCATATCTGGTACATTAAAAAACGACAGATAGCCTCATACTTGCTTGTCGGTTTGGAGGGCTGGGCATCCTTTTTTGGTAACGGGAATTCCTTCCGCAGGCGGTCCTGGGCTAAGCTGGTTTTTCATAGTGCCATCTCAAAATTTAGGGTAATGACTTCCCGCAATCTCTGCATGTTAGGGGACTTTCAGACTAAAACTGTACAGGAATGTGATAATGAAAAGAAAAAAGAAACGAACTGTCTCCTGGAGACAGATAAATCAAAAATATGTCATTGTATTAAAGATCACCTTTGTGATTGATTAGTTTACTACAGTAAAGCAGATATCTGAATACATGTGGTTCATCCCGCGCGACGAATCTTGTTCATAAAGTAAGAAATGCTTCCATGAATTCCGCAATGAGCAATGGAACGATTTTCTGGCGGGGATGCTTGACTCAAGTACTCCTCTCTGGAAAGTGGTGAAGTCGCTCAGTAACGGAAACGAGAACAACTCCCGCACATCCACGGTCCTGGAGGCGTAGTCTTCAGGACAGAGGACAAGGTCGAGGTTTTCGCTAATGCTGTGGAACGACAGTTCTCTCCCAGCTATGATCTTGATAATGATCTCGACGAGGAGCAACAAATTGTAAGATCATCAGGAGATATTTTAGGGCCAACGGTGTCAGTGATCCCGGCACCGCCATTAGTGATTCTTCCTCAGAAGATTCTTTTTCGGAAGATTCTTCAGCTAAAGAGTTGCACAGCACATCAGCGGCTTCTCCCGAGATCCCGCATTGTACACCAGCAGAGCTTCAAGGTCATATTAAAGACCTCAAGGTGCGTAAAGCGCCTGGGGAAGATCAAATCACTAATAAGGCGCTGAAGCTGCTTTCATGGAAGTCCTTGATTTATCTCATGGCTTATCACTGCCATGCTAAGGATCCAGTACTTTCCATCGGCGTGGCAGACTGCGGAAGTTATAATGATTCCAAAGAAGGTGGGTTCAATATTTCCCCAGGACTATCGTCCCATCAGCCTACTGTCTGCTCCGTCTAAGCTCGCTGAAAAGGTGATTCTAAGTCACCTTGCGAATTTCTCGTCAGATCACCATGTGATTCCTGACGTGCAATTTGGATTTCGGTCTGAGCATAGTACGGAATTAGAGGCGGTGAGGCGTGTGGAGCGAGTAACCAGGAGCTTCACCCTTAACGAAAGTACTGGCATCTTGCTTCTGGATGTCTCGAAGGCATTTGAGAAGGTGTGGCACAAAGGCCTTCTCTATAAACTAATTCAAAAGGGCTTTCCGTTTTGGCTTCTAAAACTTTTGAAATCCTTCCTCGAAGGTAGAAAATTTCGGATCAAAATTAATAATTTCTTGTCGACAGTACGGCTTATCAGAGTCGGCGTCCCTCAGGGTTCGGTTCTAGGGCCAATCCTTTACTCACTTTTCACGCATGATGTCCTTTGCCCTAGCGACTGTGAAGTCTATCTATATGCTGATGACACCGCACTGGTGGCCGAGTCGCGTACCGGGAATTTGGTTCACGACAAGTTACGGCACATCGGTGGCTAATCAAAATTAATTACTCGAAAACGCAGGCTATCTATTGTACTAAAATACGTAGCGGCGCCCCGCCTGAGGTTTCAGTGAATGGAGCTCGCATACCATGGGGAAATTCTGCTAAGTATCTCGGTGTCACTCTTGAAAGGGGGATGACCTGGCAGAATCACACTGAAGCGTTAAAAACTAAATTCCAAATTACGTTTCGGCAACTCTACCCTTTACTATGCAGAACCTCAAAATTAACTTCGGCTATACAAGATTTAGGTTATCAGACCAGCAATCACTTACGCATGTGCAGCATGATGTTTTCTTACGAAAACGCATATGCGTAATCTGCAGATTTTGCAGAACAGAACCTTGCGAACCATCACTAACGCACCATAGTATGTCTCCAACGAGACCCTTCACAGCGACCTCGACATCCCTTACCTAAGGGACTACATCAAACATCAGGCGCAGTTACGTTATAGTCAAGCGGAATCGCACAGCAACCCTCTGTTGCGTGAGTCAGTAGACTACACAGTTGAGCAAATTCGCAAGCACACAATGCCGCGGCTCGCACTGTGATCAAAATCACGTGCAATTCTAGATGCAACCAAAATTACGATTTTTGCCACACACAAATTCCTAAATTAATTTTTGGATTAATTTAAAATAACCGAATACCAGTTAATAATAGCAAGGCATCCCCTTTAACCAGCGCACTTCACCCTCTTTGCGCTTCCCCCTTCCTTCCTTTCTTTCTTCTTCTTTTCTTTCTCCCTGACTTCGTCTGGTATCTGGGCCACCAGACCTGACAGACCCACTGACCTACGATACTTTAACAAAGAGCGAAGGTGAAACGGACCGCTCTGACGGACAATGACGAATAGAAAGAATACATGTAGTTTTTATTGGCCAGATAAGGTGTGTAAATTACAATGTGCAAAATGTGTATTTTGATAATCTGACGATTTGAATGTGGAGGATGTGGAGGACTGCGAAAGTCACAAATTTTCCAAAGAACATCACTTCGGCATTCTCGATCACGGGCATTTTTTTTATTTGTGAAGGAAGCATCCAAGAATAAGTCAATATATAATCAGCCGATTTCAACAAGTGACTTAGGCCGGCATTACACTATAAAAGTTGTTTGACAAAGATCTTTTATAAATTACTTTCACAAAAGTTATACATAAAAGAAATGTTATGGTTGCCAAACAGCCTATTACACTACGTAAAAGATTTTCTAAACTACTATAAGAGGATAGTGCTATGGACGACGACGTTCAGGTTGCTGCCATAGCTAGTTTTAGTAGTAGCTTTGACAACGAAAAAGAAGTAAAACCGTGGATCGCCCGCCGTGAGTTGAAGAGGATCTACAATAACTTGGTCCAAGAACTGGCAGTGGAAGATCAGAGAAGTTATGTAAACTTTTTGAGAATGGATGAGGATGAAACCCCATCAGCACTGAGGAGCGGCTCATGGTGACGTTGCGATTTCTAGCCACCGGAGAGAGTTACACAACTACGCAAAATCTTTAATCAAACACAGGATGAAGAGGCTAAATATGATAAAAGAACTTTTATAAAAGTTTCCTTTTATAAAAGTTGCCCTATTACACTCTCACATTTCTTTTCCAACTTCTTTCATTAAATATTTTTGTCAAAGAACTTTTATAGTGTAATGCCGCCCTTATAATAACATTTTGATTTCATAAAACTCTCTCCGCTCTACTTCCAATCCAATCATTTATTCGTACCAAATACAGTCATTGTATGAGCTCATGTCATTCACAGAAATGTTTTAAAACCTTAAAGCAAGCATAGGTTCCATTACATAACACATACGTCAGGCACATTCAAACTTGATATCATTGCACCGTCTCTTTAACGTAAAAAGGGTTTTTTAACAGCGACCAAATTACTTTAATGTCACAAAGATTCCTGTTAGTAAAAGCAAAAACCACTAAAATTACAGCCAGTGCGCTAGCGTAAGAACAGCAGCTTCCAAGAACGAATAGCGTTCTAGTAGGCTTGGGATGAGAAATGACTCATGTTTGTAGTTGCTTACATATACTATTTGTGCTATTTATTACCGCTATAAACATTCCTTTGCTTTTTATACCCGAGATAAAAGTGCCTTTTCAGCTTCAGTCCAGTTTGTGTACACTATTGTTCACACAGAGAGAGCCATATATTACCTGTTCTGACAGTCACGGACGTGAAAAAATCCGCAAGTTTCCCTGATGATAAGATTTACGCTGCGAAAGTCACACTAAGTCAAGGCCCTGTGGAATTATATATGGCTAAAAATACCGGTTTATTTGCTGTGTAATGATATAATAGTTGGCATGGTATCTGTTTCCGAATTTATGTATAAAAAATCCGAATATTTTCTATAATTCAGCTCAAAGCTGTCAGCATATGTGCAGTTCAAACGTATGTTTTTTGGCACACACATCTATAGACTTCAAAGCCAAAGATCTAAAAACTGAAATGGATGCAACCTAAAGACGTCGAATGAACAGAATGTAAAATATCCATATCCCAAAACCTTTGGAAGCTAGCGAGTTGATGTCCCGTGTAGATTCTAATTTGTGTATGCAGTAATTGTCGTTATATGCATGATGCATTTACACATTTGATTAATGTGTAAAATAGGTTTTGCAACCACAGTCGTGTTTTTAATCTAAAGAATTCACAATCGTTAACAGGATGGATATTTTGTTATATACTACTTCTACTTGAATTTTTCTTCGTCGCTGCAGCAAATTTTGTCTGGACTGGCAGGCTTTACGATCTAAACCAGATCAGAGCATTTCCTTCGTACATCAAAAAGCATCTCTGTCGCTTGAGATTCATCCACCCGGACTGCACCAGAGAGATAAAATTAAATTGAAATGTCCAACTTTACGTCTGGATGTGATAACTCTCTCCAACTCATCGAACTGTCCGTTGGGCCCAACCAATGAATTTAGACTAGGTAGAAAGAGCAAGTCTATGATTTGTTTGACTCCAAAATCTCATAGTCTGTAGTCAGGTTGAAAGTTTATACTACAAGTCGTTCAGGCCTAAGCTGCCAATTTAACAATTCTTGACATTCCACATGAAATTCGTATTCTTCAGCGAGAACATAAAAGTGCGTGGGTTCCATGCCGTCACAGTGTTCCAAATAATTGTCGAATAGTGAAGCCTTCTGTGGAATGAAAAAACCGTTTAAACTGAATATAACGGGTGATTTTTTAAGAGGTATAGGATTTGATTTCGGTCGATATAATTTAATGTTTAAAGATTATTTCATGTAAATGTTGGCCGCGGCTCCGCTTTAGATGGCCCATGCGCAAGGTCCAATTTTGGCTCACTCTCTCCAACATATCGGCCGGTATCTCACGAATAAATGCTTCAATATTGGCTTCCAGTGCGTCAATCGTTGCTGGTTTATCCCTGTAGACATTAGCCTTAACATGGTCCCACAAGAAATAGTCCAACGGCGTTGACGGGCCCCAAACGTGAGATAAACTGTTCACCGAACTCGCCTCTCAATAGGGCCATTGTTTCGTGTGCGGTGTGGCATGTGGCACCGTCTTGTTGAAACCACATGTCAGCCAAGTCCAGCTCTTCCATTTTGGGAAAAAAAAGTTTGTTATCATCGCACGGTAGCGCTCGCCATTCACAGTTACGTTCCGGCCATTGTCGTCTTTGAAGAAGTACGGCCCGATGATGCCACCGGCCCATAATCCACACCAAACAGTGATTTTTTCGGGATGCATTGGTAGCTCTTGCAATGCTTCTGGCTGGTCTTCACTCCAGATGCGGCAATTTTGCTTGTTAACGTACCCATTCAACCAGAAATGAGCTTCGTCGCTGAACACAATTTTTCGATAAAAATGTGGATCTTCCTCCAACTTTGCCAGCGCCCATTCACCAAATTGGAAACGTTGTGGGAGGTCGTGTGGCTTCAATTCTTGCACCAGCTGTATCTTATAAGGTTTTACATCCAAATCCTGTCGCAAAATTTTCCACGTAGTGGAGTAACAGAGGCCCAATTGCTGCGAACGGCGGTGAATCGACATTTCACGGTCATCACAAACACTGGCGGATACAGCCGCAATATTTTCTTCAGTCCTCACTCTACGTCTGCGTGTTGGCGGTTTAATGTCCAATAATGTAAACTGGGTTCGAAATTTAGTCACAAGCTTCCGAATAGCTCCCTCAGTAGGTCGACCATAAATTGGAAGAAGTGCTCGATGCACTCTCTTAACCGAGCATGAATTTTGATAGTAAAATTCAATAATTTGCAAGCGTTGTTCGTTCGTAAGTCGATTCATGGTTAAATTATAGACCAAACTGAACAAGTTTGACAATGACACAAGACACGATTCACGCGTCATCTGTCAAAAACAGTGTTGCCAAAAAGATACTAGCAAAAAAATCACCCATTATTATAGTCATAGCCGTTGCAAAAGGGCATGTATATACCTAAACGTTTTGCTTTCACCTGGGCAGTTGTAAGTTTTGAAATATTTTCAATCCACTTCTTGTTTCTTTGAGTACTCAGCCCGAATTAAGGTTTGTACCTAACAACAAGACTGAAAATGAAAAACATTAGAGACAAACAATTTTTTGTGTGTCATCGTCATTTAGGTTTAGCACCACCAAAGTGTCAATGAAATGCAATGACGTACATTTTCTTTGTTCGTGCTATTGAAGTGGTATATTGTTCAAACCAAAAATTGTCTTGCTGAAACAGCGAACCCATAATCCTAGACTAGGTTTTACGCTTGAACATATTTCAAACCGTTGGAAATGTGATGCTAGAACATTATTATTGTTGAATAAATAAATCAAAAAAGACGAAAAAAGAGTGTATGTTTTTATTCACGGTACAGCATATGAACAATTTCTGTGTAATTCGTAATTTTGAAAGGTGAAAGATACGAAACAGTTTATCCATCGATCAGCGGTTATGGCAGAATATATTGGAAATTACCTACAATTTTAAGCCACCATTCACGTTTTCGGATGTGCAAAAGCTAAAAGAAAGTGAATAGTCTGGGTCACTAGACTGTATGTAAACAAACATTTTTATGTACTCTTAGCAAATATGAATATAATGACAACTGTCAACAATGACAAAGCGACGGCTTAAGTCTAATCGTCTTGTAGTATGCTCCTCCAACCTGATTATAGCAGAGAATATTGGAAATTTATTGAAATATTTGACTCTTTTTGACTCTAAATATTTTGTCTCTGAATTTTCATATAATAATTTAAGTCATCATACACATTTTCAGATATGAATAAGACAAAAAGAAGTAAACAACTGTCAGGAACAATAGACTATATGTAAAACACGCATTTTTATGTTTTCTCAGAAAAACATGCATTTAAGGACAACTGTCAAAGTTGTCAAATCGACGACTTAACCCTAATCGACTAGTAGTATGCTCTTCAAACCTGACTACTGACTAGGGTATGGATCGCCACAAATTACATCATTGCTACTTCTACCTAGTCAGAGTTCGTTGGTTGGACCACCCGCTTGTGACTCTCAAAATGGCCAACCTATTTTGCTATTTTAAAGACTACTTCCGGGTTTCGAATATCGGGTTGTTTGCATTGTAATGGAGAGTCCCAAGAGATACCGATTCAAACCCAATGCCAGCAGGACAGTGGTGGAGGCAGCGCTCTCTGCAGAAAGTGATATTGGCATAATACCTGTAAAATCTTAAAAGCTATAATACCTAAAAATTTGATCAGTAAGGCGCATTTCAAACAAATTTGTGGGGCTTTTGGTCCTTTTGTAACTCTCAGAGGTTCCAAATCAACGCCTCGTTCCTCATTTAATTTTCGACCTTCGTGATTTTTGATTTAGTTTTGGTGGAGCAAAAAACAAGAAAACAACAAAAATCAACCACGAAATCTAACCCTTAGTTTTGTACTGCTGACAAAAATTGCTGATCATAGTTTTCAAAGTCAACTATCTATACGTAAAATTAATTCTCAGTATTTTCTATGTTGCATGACATGACTTCCAAACACGCTAACTGAACTAGAACCTAAAACATCGGTACTCTTGTATATATTCTCAATTCTCGCACAATTCTCTTCAATCAAGATTATTTTCCATTGACATCTCTTCTATATATACGTTTCTATTGGAGAACAAAAGATGCATTTACTTTTTTCCAGAATGAAAAGCTAGAAACAATGCAGTCACAAAATCCGCTTACTGTCTGAAAGTAGTAAGTAATCAAGCCAATTTAAGTTCTCGGGCTTAAGGATTGTAGCGGATACAATTGAGCGCAGTGCATTCCTGAAATTGTACTTATTATCTGAAACAACGATAACAATCTGAAATACAGGGTGGCGAATATATAACTAACTGATTTAAATTGCGCGCTTTTTGATACGCGCATTTCAGGAGGTGGCCCCGTAGCAGTTGTTTAAAGCACATATGTGTCCAATTCATCATTGAGCGCTACACGA